CGGCCACGAGCGCCGCGGGACCCCCCCAAAACGCCCCCCCGGCCAAAAGCGCAGCCCCACCCCACCAAGACCGATGCCAACAGCGCGCAACGAAACACACCGCGCACAGAATCAGCCCGAGAGCAGAAAAGCCGCCCGGCGCAAAACCGCAAGAAGAGCAGACCGCAGCCGGCGCAACCACCCCCTCCAGCAGCCCGAGGGGCAGCACAAAGCCAGAGCGGAGCGAACCGCGCCGCCCCCCCACCGGACGAAGCCAAAGCAGCCCAGCCACGTCCGCCGCCCCCCCCCGCAGCCCGCACCAGGCCCTGACACGCGGCCAGAGCAGCTCCGCCGCCCCGGCCCCCCACCACGCGCCGGCCATAGCCACTCCAGGCCCCCACCCGCCCCGCAGCCCCACCCGCCGCGATCAGCGGGAACAGAGCAGCCCCGCCATGCCTCCAGGAGGGAAAACCCACCCGAATACCCAGCCAGCGCAGCCAGCCCGCCCAGACCGGCCCCCCAACACTACCCCCGCCGGAGCCGCCCGGACCCCCACACACCAGCGGCGCGCCGCCAGCAGGACCCCCACCCAGCAGGCCCGCCCGCCCCCCGAGAAAACAGACATGCCAAACCCCCCAAAGAAAAAAAAAAAAAAAAACATAAATAAATAGGTAAATAAATAAATTAATTAATAATTACAATTAAAATAAATAGGCAAGAGGAGAAGTGCGAGCGGAAAAACCGGAGCCCAAAACAGGACCCAAGACCCGCACCCCACCATGCCGCGCAGCTCCCCCCCCCCCGAACCGATACCACAGAACCGGCATAGGAAAGAAACACCGCCCAGGAACCGGCATCGTAGCGAAGGCACCGGCACCGACCCCGAAAATCCCCGAACAACACCCAGCCCCACCCCGAAGCGGATCCAGTCCCAGGCCCCAGGGATCCGAGGCCCCAAGGGCACCCGATCCCCAGACAGGAGCCCCAGCAAAGCCCCGGCCGGCCGGGGCCAGCGGAGAGGCCGCCAGGAATGAGCCAGCAGTCCCCCGGGCATCCACCCCCAGCTCCACCAGTGCACCGGTGAGCCCCGACGCCAGCCAGCGGAGGGAGAGCAGGACGGGGGGAATGGGCTCCGCACTTAGCGGAGACTTGAGATGTATTTGGGAGAGGGTGCGGTTGAGACCCCAACCTGGGAAAGAAAAAAAAACACACCATCTCAATCATGCCTTCCCTCCCTAGTGCCCCCACTCGTACCACAGGAAAAAAAAAAAAATTGAATAAAATAATAGTAATAATAAATAAAGAAAATAACAACGCGGACACACATTCACACATAACACTCACATCCAATAATACCAGGACCAAAAACCCGGTGACACCGGTGGTCGGTCCCGGGACTATCGGATGACCCCATAAGTGAACCTAAAATCCGGATGTGAGGGGAGGGGAGCGGCGACACCGCCACACCAACCCATCTCTTTCCTGCTTCAAGCCCGGCCCCCCACCCCGCACACGGACCGGACCACCCCCAGCAAGAGCCCCCCCCGGGACCGGGGCCCACCCATCCCGCGCCGGCCACCCAACCAGAACCGCCCCCCCCCCCGAAAAGAAAGAGGAAAAAAAAAAAAAACCTTCAACCCCCTCCATCCAACCTTCTTTGGGGAGAGCAGAGGTGACAGCCCCGCCACCAGCAGGCCACCTAGGCCCCGCAGCCAGCCCCAGCCAAAACCACGGACCAGGTGGCCCGCTCTTCCTCCAGGCCCCAGACTCCAGGCGGCAGCCGGAGAACAGGGGTGTGAGAAGACCCCGATCCTCCCTGCGCCCGCTCGAATGTGGTGTTGTTGCGTGTTGCTCTCAGATGCAATTAAAACTGGGAGTACCAAGAGGGGGTGTCCGGCACACTCCACCCCCCCTCCAGGAGATAGACGGTGCCAGCACACCCCCCCCCCTTCGACAACCCTCAACCCTCAATGTCTAGATGCGAGAGGGGAAGGAGGAGGCCGACCGTGGTGAGGCCCATAAAATAAGCCCCCCCCCCGGTGGCCCTGACCCCCACCCCCCGAAAATGCCCTACATAGATGTGTGTTGTGAAAATGATGTAGATGGAAGTGTCTAAAATGCAAAATAAAATTGGGGTGGGGGACGTCATCAGAAGGTGTGGCCCTCCAGTAACGACCCCCTCCCCAAAAACCTACCTTAGCCTTACGTTTGTGAATTCTTAATCATTATTAATTTATATACCAGGAAAGGCCTATTGGAAATAATATCATATAGATGGTGTACCTTTCTAAGATTCTCATAAATAAAATCCAATGCAACCACCTGGCTCCTAAAGTCACATGATTAGTCAATAGAGTCTATTGGTGTGTAAAACAATCTCAACATATTCCAGAACCACTGTGAAGGCCTCAGATGTTTGGTAGATAATACTGGGGGAACAAACAGCTTAATGAATACAAATGAACTTTTAAAAGTTAAAAAGGAGCTGCTTTGGTCACATAGTTTGCTAATTAAAGTGCTTGAAATGCATTTTCTGCTCCTTTACATTTACAACAGGCCATAAGCATGAACTTGGTGACTAAATAGGCTTGATCTTCATAGAATCCAAATAAAAGAACCTAAATGGCACGTAAGTGGACATGCAGGTGAACTACAAAGATTACGGTGAAAATGTTAAGACGTGCAAACTGGTTTGGGTCCAACCATTAACAGTGCCTGTTCCAAAGGCAGTTAGAGTGGCTGTAAAAGAACGTTAAGGTTCAAAGCCATTGTGATGGAGGTAATACTAATAATTATAAAAAAAATACTAATGAAAATACAAAATAATATTCATAGAAAATCTTGTAGCCCATCTGCAAGTGCTTCAAACTAAAGTAAAAGAAAAAAAAACATAACTGCACTTCATGCACAGTAATGTTTTAATGAATCAAGGAAGCATTTTTATTATATTGTCATATTTAGCTGTTTGATTTCTCAGAGAATATCACACCTGTAACCTTATATATTGGCCCACTCATACAGGACTGTAGACACATCCTGACATTATTTTCAGTCTTTTCTAGGCGGACCAGAGTTTTTTCCAGGCCTGTTTTATTACTTTTATGTTTTTTAATCAATCTTTTGAGGTATGGTTTTAAAATAATGTCTAGCTTTCCTTTCAACCTAAAAAAACTCACACTAAGAAAGGCGCCAAATTAAATTAATTGTTTTTTTGTTTTTTTTCAATCTACAACATTTTAGTCTTTGGTGTTCAGAGCTCGGCAGAAAAGCTCAGTGCTGAAAAATACTTTGATTATGTCCATGAGCTAATGAATGACAGCAGGGATGTACTCCCAATTTGATTGGCATCATTCATGTGTGTGTTTGTTGTGTAATGATGTCAGGAAGTATAAAACTGGTCCACATTCTGTACAACAGTCTGAAGGTTCTTTCCTAGCCATTAGTTTCCTTATTGTTGACCCTTTGAAAGGTGAAGGGAAAGGAGCTAAAATCAGGAGCTACAGTTTGAAGTATAAAAAATCACCCTGAGATATTAGTGCATTTAGTGTAAATACATTTTCAGATGCCCGTATGTCCCAGATGTTTCCACTGTGAAGTCACTTTCAAGCACCCTTTTATTCTTCAAGCAACTTAGGAAAATGTCCAAATTTATTTGATTTCCATAAATTCCCCACTAGTGTTGAAGTAACTGATTTTTGCTAAATGTAATCAGTTATCTTATGTTTTTTTATATAGATACATTATTTCAGAGTAAATTCAAAAGGTCCTTCAAACTCAAAAATAAGAGAAGCAAACTCAAAAGTTAGACCAACTAAGTAGAAAATTAGGCAAACACAAAAACACATGAAAAGTAAAAATTCTGCAAAGGAAAAAAAAAAAGGAGCAGCAAAGTGGAAACATGCAGCAAACGCAATACCTGCTGCAAATACATGAATTAACTAAACACAGAAAACATTTGCTAAGGGAAGCATGACAAGTAATAAAACAACTGCAAATTAAGTTGCAAACTAGTTGCAGAATGGCAATGCTCCAGAGCAGGGCTCATATGAGAACAGAACATGGGCATTACTATAATGAATGCATAGGATCAGATCCTTAGCAAACACATTAATGGGAAGCCATCAGGATGGGAGAAAGAAAATGTAGGTTTTCCCTCTTAAACATTTTAAAACATATTCTTTCTTGGTATCCCATTTATGCCTTTACTAAGGGTCTGGTCTTATGTTAGTTGATGACCATCTTCCAAAGTGGGCTCAAGCCCTAACATTGTGTAGCGCTAGTCTGCAGCTGTTCTTGACATGCAGTTATATATATATATTTTTTTGCTACTTGCAGTATAATATTTTGCATGTTTTGTTTGTTTAGGTAAATTGTTTGCTGTAAGGTTTGGGTTTGCAGCATGACTCCACTTTTTACTAATGCAGCTTTTCTAATTTGTCTCACTATTCACTATTTCTTTGCATGTGTTTTTTTTTGTGTCAGTTTATAAGTGACATTTTCCTGTTAGCTAATCTTCATTTTTGAATTAGATGTTCTCATTTTTAGCTCATTGCACTCATTTTGGAGTTTTTTGGACCTTCTGAATTTTCTCCAAAATTATGTAAACCCCTCAGCACCGTTAAACATAAAAATCATATTCAGCAATATAATTTAGTCATGTGTCAGAAAATAAGGATGTTGACTACAAACACACGCTTCAGATTTTTTATTGTGAATATAATAAACAACTGTGTGTTCTATTAAAAAGGTTTCATTAAATAGACTGGAGTCTATGGTTCTGGAACCAGGAAGGGGAAAGTTTAGGGAAATGTTGTAGAAATAGGAATTTATTTCTCATGTAGAAATGTCCCATAAACTCCACCTAAACACATTTGCCCGCACTGACACATATAGTCAAAGTCCATCCTTGCCAGCAGCTCTGATAGTCTAAAGCTGCGCTTATCACAAAATAATCCCAGGTAGGTCCTTAATCCGTTGCAGACGGCTCGGCGTTCCCTGCGCATGTTGCCAAAGTGGGTCATTAAGCACATTCAACGCCCCAATTTCGATACTGTGTGAGAGATTGCGCACAGGAGCCGCGCTTCTGGCTGACCTGCTCCTCTGACGCCCCCGCTGGCCTTCCTTTCGGTGGGCTCCGGGATGCTCCATGGTGTTTGTGCCATCTAGGGTTTCTCGCTGCTCTATTGCAGCCTTTCCATGGCAGAGACTTAACCCCTGTGAATGTAGCCTACTTGCTCTCCGGACCAACAACATATTAAAACACCTAACTCTGTTGTTTTGGATTTTCTGTTATTTTTTCTGCAAGAAATCCCACTTTTTATTCGGATAAATACTTTGGATATTCCAACCACTACAAAAAAAAAAAAGAAAGAAAAAAGGACTCGATTAACGAGAAGATTCGGGGGGGAAACCTATTTGAGGAAATATAGCCACTTTTCCAACGAGGAATTACATAGAAATTTGTGGTGAGGTGTTTAGTTTTCCAAAAAATAAAAATAAAAACAACGAACAAACAAACCAAAAATGCTCCCTGCATGTCGCAGCTTGGCTTCCGGCTAGAAGAGCGCAGGTTTAACGCAGCATCTGCTGGTGTGAGGAGGAATAGAGCGAGAGAAGGAGCGATATGTGCTTCGGCTGGCGGCTGGTTTTGCGGTTCTTCTGGAATTAGTGAAGAATGGGAAGGGAGCGGCTGTAACGTTCAAATCTGGGAGAAAAAAAGGAGTTCTTTGGGAAGCTGCGGTTGGAACATAATGGATCATTATCCGGCGGTAAAGGTAGGAAATCATACCAAATGTCATCAGTGATAAGATCTGCCTTTTTTTTTCATGTTGTTCATCTTTTGGATGCTCTCTGATTCTAATGAGCCATTTTACATTTGTGCAGAAGCCTACATAAAGGTGAGGCTGGTTGTTTATTGAATGAAGGGTTGCTCAGACTCCGGACAATTACAGCTCACACAGAAAGTAACTCGATCAGCGAAGAGCTGCTAAAGCTGTCGCTTTGGCGTTGGATTCATTTAAAATATACAGCTGAACAGAAAAGAGAAGTTGTGTTTTACGTTTAAAACATTGGGAGATTTTTCTCTCCAAAATGTTCCCTTTTGATTCCAAGAGCTGCGTATTAAACTCCATTTAAGTTGAACAAATGGGCTGCTGTGTTAAAACAAAACAGCGAGCAAAAGAAAAGGTTTTTATTGTGAGTCTCTCTGCACATCTTAAGAAAATATTGCCTTATATGTCTCCGCGCAAACGCAGCTATTTATATACGTCTGTATATGTTTGAGGTTAGGAGACTCTATGGCCGCCATGAGGCACTAATGCCATCACCTTCTTTAATCACCTCCCCCTTGTGGATTACATGGCAGTCGTGGAGTCGCAGTGAGAAATCCGTGTCCGGAGGTGGAGAGCAGCCGGTCGGGCTGTGCATGTAGTTCAGCACCACGGACAGCGCACACCAGTCTAACTGCTGCAGGAGGCAGCAGCGTTTCCACTCCCACAGTGCGGCGTTTGCTCCACACTTACACGGCTGTTTACACCATATCTAATTCTACATCATATTTTAAGCAGTTTCAAGCAAAGTCACACCCGCATTCCAACAGCGTAATGACTAAGTGGCGCATATATATTTATATATATATATATATATATATATATATATATATATATATATATATATATATATATATATATATATATATATATATATATATATATATATATATATATATATATATATATATATATATATATCGTGTGTGGTCATTTGCAGAGTTGAAGCATTTTATTTTAATAAAGGCCCCTCAATAGAAGGGTGAGGAGAGCAGAGATGTAGCTCATCTGAAAGTGTAGCAGGGAGCTTTTTTTTTTTTTACCATCTCCAGTCCAGGAGATTAATCTCATCGGCCTGATTTATATCGGCTATAGCATGTGCTTAAGCTGATCCACCCTGGCGTTGCTATTTAATATGTTCACAAGAAAAGTAAGCAAATTCCCACTGAGTATTTGACCATATATTTTAAACAAAAAATGAGGACCAGTGTTTGTGTTTTGTAGCCATTGAATCACCATTCCTTCTCCCATTTTTAAGTAGCAAGGAAACTTTGATATATTTTTCATCATGTTAATTGTTTTTGTTTCATTGGTTGGTTTTCGCTAAACATTAAAAGAAATTCCCTCTTTAAAAACGTCATAGTGAAATTGGTTTTACTTTACTTATTTGACAATATTTTGTTTTCTTTACTACTAAATATTAACTTTAGGCTACTCGTACACATAACTTAGACTAAGACAAACTTTATTGTTATTTTGTATCCAGTGTATACAAAACGAAATTTCAATGCATACACCTTTTCAATTGAGAATAAGTAGCTTACAGCAGTGAAATGAACATTTCCATTTATAAAGTGCAGCAGTGATCAGAAGAATATGGTGCAAATGCAGTAGAAACATTCAGTTCTGTTCAAAGGGATTTGAAAACTTGGCCATGTAGTGCCAATATGACGTTTACAAGTGTGATGTGCTTTCAAAGAGAAATGACTTGAGCCATCCATCATATATGTTAAATATGTATATAATTGAGGCCAATGGCTTATTTGCAGAACAAGCCATTGACAAGAATAAGTCATGCAAACATGGATTTCAATCTTTTTCGCAATTTTTACAGGTGTAACTGCAAAATTTTACATTAGCATAAAACTTCACTTAAAGTGTTTGTCTGAGAACTGGTTTTATCGATATGCAGAGGTAACATTGAGTTTGCAGCAATAGTTTGATATATTTTGACCTTTTATGGCTGTTAACAAATATCTTGCTTTGCAGGTACTAATGATCATCTTGCATGCTAAAAGTTATTCAGAACATCCTGAAAATTAGAGTTTCTAGTCACTTAAAACTTCTCAGCCTTTCATGTCTGAAATACTAGGATGGCTGGTAAATGCGATTTTAATTGTGAAACAGTTGTTTTAAAGGTTTCTTAGTTACACGTAGAAAACTCACTCATCAGTTGCAGTACAGTATATCTACAAACTTCATGTCAGGTATTGAAAAAACCAGTATGGGTCAATAAAAGCTTTAAAGGGGAAAATATTCCTTACATGTTGTGCTAGAGGTTAAATGCTTTACTTTCAAAATTGTAAATACAGTTGATATTAGGAATGTATTACAGCTAAATAATAACGCATTTTACGGTATTTAAAAGTTTCAGCATACATCTGAAAACCAGTTCAAATTTTTAGATATCTAACTTTTGGGTATGTAGTAATTTTTGCGCTACCTAGTAAAAGCTATAGTGTTGTGAGCTTGTCCTTTGCAGATGTATAGTTTGCATTTAAACCTTACAGTTAAGAATATGACTGTTTTTTGCTTAATACATAGTTACAGGATATATAGTTACATCTTATATAGGCTACCTTACTTTGTAAAAATGATGTCAAATTAATTCAGCAATTGACTAAAAAACACATTTGGAGTTTAGAAGAAATCAGGCATGTAGGAACTTTTTAGATCCTAAAATTTGACACGTTACATGCAAAGCAGTTTTTAGCTCTGTTGAAGAACATCCTGGTTTGATTCCTGGCTTAAGGTCTTTCTGCATAGACTTTTCGTGTTCTCTCTCTGCATGTTTGGGTTTTCTCAAGGTAATCCAGCTTTCCTCTGGCTCCTCCCACTCTCAGAAACATGACTGTTTGGTTTATTGGTGACTCTAATTTGATCTTTTATTTCAAGTTAAATGTCAAGCATTTAAAATGTATAAAATTTTTTTAAAAATATTTGTTTTACAAAGTAAAAGCATCCATCTTTTAGCACATATCAGGCTCGTGCCAATCTCCAGCAGTCTCCGGGTGAAAGGCGGGGTACACTGTAGACATGTAGCCAGTCTATAGTAGGGCAAGGCAGAGATACACAACTAAACACACACTTAGGGGTGTGTGGTGAGGGAACAATTGAAACTTCACCTGGATAGATTCAACTCTGATCATACTGTAGAAATACAAATTTAAGATCTTAATATGATGAAAGTTTCCCCACCATAGCTCAATTTTCAGATTGTTTCTATATATATATATATATATATATATATATATATATATATATATATATATATATATATATATATATATATATATATATATATATATATATATATATATATATATATATATATATATATAAAACAGTTTGGGATTAATAAGGGAGGACGTATATTTGTCTTCAAAACATTTTCCAGGAAAACCCATGTTGAATTTTAAAGCTGGACTTTAATTTGTTTAGTTTTATTAAAATAATAATCTAGGGGAGGTTTTCACTTTGAGCATAACTAAAGACTTTAAGCTTAATTCATTTCAGTTTTATTACATGTTCAATATTTCCAAAAAATTGAAATAAATAAAAAAGAAATAAAAATAAGCAAACAGCCAATTTGACAATTCAAATGTTTGAGTTTCAGCTAACTAAATGAAGCTATTTTCCCCTTAAAGTAGATAATCACATTGTTTTAACCATCGAGCTACATAAGCGAGACATTAATTAATTCTTCCTCTGTATTCATTGTTATTCAGGCAGCTCACCACAAATAGTCACAACATTAGTGTCAGCTCTGCTCATCTGATATGGCCGTATCAGTGGCGTTTATTGTCTCTCAAAGCTAGACGCCAGGATGACGCTGGAGGGCTAATGCCTTCTGTTGAGGCTGCTCACTGAAATTGATAGGGCTGCTTTGACAGATGAGATAACCTGCGACTGCAGGCGAACACAATTTAGGGGTGCTGCAGATGGATGTAGAGGACAGTGGGAAAAGTAGGGCAGTTTTACCTCAGGGAGCAGCTCACTGTGCACAGAAGACTCCTGATGAACATTGGATAGTTGTTGTTTTGTAATCAAAAGGGACACGTAGCAAGAAAATGTAGAGGAGGCAGTTTGCTAAAGTTTGAAGGAGATTAATCTGCATTCAGTTCTTGCCCGTGAGGAGTGCCACATGGAGGAGATAATTGCGGTTCAGAAGCTAAGAGAGGCACATCTTGGGATTTAGCCTTAAACCCCAAAGAGATGCACATCTTCACCCACCTTTCTTGGCAGTTTTTTGTTAAAGGGATTAAAAATACTACAGTAAATCCAAATGAAAGGTTGTAAGGATCTGACACGAGGCCAGTTGAATATGTTTGATGCAGAGAGAAATAATGGATTTGCAGTAGAGCTCATCTGGGAATAGTACACATCTGCAGAGCATTTTTCTAACGCTCCCTCATCTCAAATTGCCATGAATTACAGGGACACATTTTCCTGTTGTATTATCGCTGCTATTGTCACCAAGTTGGTCTCTGGTTTGTGTTTCTGTCACACTACTGTGGCCCAGCTGTGGCAGAGTTATGTGCAGAATTGGCTACCAGGGTTGAACCATCAAATGCAATTGTTTTTATTTACCCCACATTTAAACCTCTATGATACAATTTTTTTTTTACCACCATCCAACCCATAAAAATTTCACAATGCCTTTGAAAAAGTATTCATAAAAGTAAGATTCTCTTAATATTTGTTCCAATTACCTTTACAATGTTTTGTATGGTTTATCATAATTGAATTTAAAATTAAATGCAAGAAACAACATACTTGAAGTAAAAATGAACTAATTTGAATTTCTTATTAAAAGAATTAAAAGCGTGGCAGATTGCTTTCACTCTTTACCCTGATAGAACCACTGAGTGCAATCAAACTTCATCTAATGAATAAATGAGATCCATTTGGGTGTAATTTAATCTCAGTATAAACATAGTTGTACT